GCGCCTGTAATCCCAGCTACTTGGGAGGCTGAAGCAGGAGAATCGCTTGAACCTGGGAGGCGGAGGTTGCAGTAGACCGAGATTGAGTGATTGCACTTCAGCCTGGGACATCAGGGCGAGACTTCGTCTCAAAAAGAAAAAGAATTTTTATTAGCATTTTTGGGGTGGTAGAAATGATTGCACAAGGCAGCCTGCCTCCCTTTCTGCAGACATTTAACCTGGACTTTGTCCTTGGCCCTTTCTGCTCAACTCTACCTACTCCCACTGGCAATCTCACCCATTATGGTGGCTTGAACTCCACTATACACATGACTCTCAAATCTATTTCTTCCTCCCCAACCTGTTTTAAGCTTTTACATTTACTTTCCACATACTGGACATGACCACCTAAATATGACAAAAGCACTTTGAAACATATCCAAAATAAAATACGTTTCTCCCTACTGATTCCTCTTTGACTCTCTAGATCTATTATTCAAATTATTATTATTATTATTATTATTATTATTGAGACAAAGTCTCGCTCTTGTCCCCCAGGCTGGAGTGCAATGGCATGACCTTAGCTCACTGCAACCTCTGCCTCCCAGGTTCAAGTGATTCTCCTGCCTCAGCCTCCCAAGTAGCTGGGACTACAGGCGCCCACCACTACGCCCGGCTAATTTTTGTATTTTTAGTAGAGACCAGGTTTCACCATGTTGGCCAGGCTGGTCTCGAGCTCCTGACCTCAGGTGATCCGACTGCCTCTGCCTCCCAAAGTGCTGGGATTACAGGCGTGAGCCACCACGCCCTGCCGATCTATTATTAGAATTATTATCTATGCTGTTACCTAAGCCACACACCTCAGAGCTGCCCTCAACTCTTCTCTACCATAATCTAATCAGTCACTACTGTTGAGTCTACCTCCTAATAAGTTGTTTTTTTTTGAGACAGAGTTTTGCTCTTGTCGCCCAGTACAATGGTGCAGTATCAGCTCACTGCATCCTCTGCCTCTCGAGTTCAAGAGATTCTCCTGCCTCAGCCTCCCAAGTAGCTGGGATTACAGGCACCCACTACCACACCTGGCGAATTTTTAAATTTTTAGTAGAGATGGGGTTTCACCATGTTGGCCAGGCTGGTCTCAAATACCTGACCTCAGGTAATCCGCCCTCCCAAAGTGCTGGAATTACAGGTATGAGCCACTGTGCCTGGCCTACCTCCTAATATGTTTTGTCCATATTTACTGCCTTAGTTTAGGTTTGGTCCTTTCTCATCTCCAGACTGGATCACTACAATAGCTTCCTGGCTGGTCTTCACCTCCATTCTTAACATCCTCCATACTACTGTCATATTTCTTTATAAAATACTTATGACTGTGATGCTCCCTTGCTTAAGCCATCACTGAACTATCTTTACCTTTAGCAGCATTTCCCAGAGTTTAAAAAAAAATTTTTTTTGAGACAGAGTCTCACTCTAATGAGCAGGCCGGAATGCAGTGGTGTGATTTTGGCTCACTGCAACCCCACCTCCCAGGCTCAAGGAATCCTCCCACCTCAACCTCCAGAGTAGCTAGGACTATAGGCACACACCACCACACCCAAGTACTTGTTTTTAAATTTTTTGTAGAGATGGGTCTTGCTGTATTGCCCAGGCTGGTCTTGAACTCCTGAACTCAAACTATCCACCTGCCTCGGCCTCCCAAAGTGCTGGGATTACAGGTGTGAGCTACCATGCCTGGCCTACCATTTCCCAGTTTTATATGTGTTCCTGAGATGATTTTAGATGATAGATGGGCAAACAGTTTTTAATAGTTGTGCTTTTATCTGAATTTGTAGTAGAAAAATATTGATTTTCCTTTCAGTATACATTTATGTTTAAAGTCAGTCTAAGGAAAAATAATAAGCAAAAACTAGTATGGGGACTATTTGCAAATATTAAAAACCATGAATACTCAAATATTTGAAGTAGGTAAATTTCTTGCTTATAGGATAAATTCCAAAATCCTTAGCATAGCAGACCCTAAACTGTATTTCCAGCTTTATTTTCCAGTCACATAGCATTGGGCAGACAGAATATCCTGCCATTCTAATATTCATTCATTCGATAAGTATCTATCAGATGTCTACCATGAGCCAGACATTGGGCTAAACTTTAGGGATTTTAGTTGTAAATAACTATCTCTGCCATAAGGATTACATTCTAATGGGAAAAACAGACAATAAAGTTAGAAAGTAAACAAGGTAGGCCGGGCACAGTGGCTCATGCCTGTAATCCCAGCACTTTGGGAGGCCAAGACGGGCGGATCACGAGGTCAGGAGATCGAGACCATCCCGGCTAACACAGTGAACCCCCGTCTCTACTAAAAATATAAAAAAATTAACCGGGCGTGGTGGCGGGCGCCTGTAGTCCCAGCTACTCGGGAGGCTGAGGCAGGAGAATGGCGTGAACCTGGGAGGCGGAGCTTGCAGTGAGCTAAGATCAAGCCACTGCACTCCAGCCTGGGTGACAGAGCGAGACTCCGTCTCCAAAAAAAAAAAAAAAAAAAAAAAAAGAAAGTAAACAAGGTAATTAAAGATTCTGACTGGCCTAAGCAACATGGCAAGACTCTGTCTCTACAAAAGATTTTTAAAAATTTAGCCACCTGTAGTGGCGTGTGCCTGTAGTCCCAGATGCTCAGGAGGCTGAGGCAGGAGAATCACTTGTGCCTGGGAGATTGGCCGCTGTGAGCCATAATTGCACCACTGCACTCAGCCTGGTTGACAGAGTGAGACCCTGTCTCAAAATAAATAAATAAATAAATAAAAGAAAGAAAGAAGATTCTGATTTAAGTTCTGCAAAGGAAATACACAGTGAAAGATAGGAGGGTACAGAAGACCCCTTTGGGTGACAGTACTATTGAGACCTTAAGAATGAGGTCGAACTCGGCCGGCACAGTGACTCACGCCTGTAATCCCAGCACTTTGGGAGGCCGAGGTGGGTGGATCACAAGGTAACGAGTTCAAGATCAGCCTGGCCAATATGGTGAAACCCCGTCTCTACTAAAAAAATTTTAAAAAGCTGGGAGTTGTGGCACGTGCCTGAAGTCCCAGCTACTTGGGAGGCTGAGGCAGGAGAATCACTTGAACCCAGAAGTGGAGGTTGCAGTGGGCCGAGATCGCGCCACTGCACTCCAGCCTGGGTGATAGAGCGAGACTCCATCTCAAAGAAAAAAAAAAAAAAAAAAGAATGAGGTCGAACCCAATATGTGAAAAGCTAGAGGAAGAGCACCAGGAACAGAAAGCTGCGGGGAGCAGTGGCTCATGCTTGTAATCCAAGCACTTTGGGAGGCTGAGAAGGGCGGATGACCGGAAGTCAGGAGTTAGAAACCAGGCTGGCCAACATGGCGAAACCCCATATCCACTAAAAATACAAAAATTAGCTAGGTGTGATGCCGCACGCCTGTAGTCCCAGCTACTCAGGAGGCTGAGGCAGGAGAAGACTTGAACCCAGGAGAGGGAGGTTGCAGTGAGCCAAGACCGCATCACTGCACTCCAGCCTGAGCGACAGAGACTCCCGTCTTGAAAACAAAAACAAACAAAAAAACAAACAAGTTGCAAAAGCCCTGGGATGAGAAAAAGCACACCACCGTTGGGCGAAAGTGCAAGGAGAGCTTCATGGGTGACGGAGAAGAATGGTGGTTGAACAGGTTGAAAACATAGGCAGAGCAGGCTGTGTGAGTTTAAAATTTTATTTTAAGTGCAGCAAAAAGCCAAGGAAAGAACCGGGTGCAGGGTTACACGCCTGTAGTCCCAGCTGCTTGGGAGGCCAGAGGATCCCTTGTGCCCAGGAGTTTCAGGCCAGCCTGGGTAGTATAGCCAGATCCCTCTAACAAAAAGGGTTTTTAGGCCGGGCACTGTGGCTCATGCCTGTAATTCCAGCACTTTGGGAGGCAGAGGCTGGTGGATCACCTGAGGTCAGGAGTTCAAGAGCAGCCTGGCCAACACGGTGAAATCCCGTCTCTACTAAAAATAAAAAAAATTAGCCGGGTGTGGGGGCGGGCGCCTGTAGTCCCAGCTACTTAGGAGGCTGAGGCAGGAGAATCGCTTCAACCCCGGAGGCGGAGGTTGCAGTGAGCTGAGACCGCCACTGCACTCAGGCTGGGTGATAGAGCAAGACTCCGTCTCAAAACAACAAAAAGGGTTTTTAGTAGATATGTAACCAACTGATTTTTAAAATGATCACACTACCTACGTGGAGAATAAATTAGTGTCTCCTAATCGCTTTGAAAGTTTATTTTTCGTTTTACTCTTTTTCACTTTTTTTTTTTTTTGAGATGGATTCTCGCTCTTGTCCCCCAGATTGGAGTGCAGTGGCAAGATCTCGGCTCGCTGCAACCTCTGTCTCCCGGGTTCAAGTGATTCTCCAGCCTCAGCCTCCCCAGTAGCTGGGATTACAGGCGCACTCCACCACGCCCAGCTAATCAACCTCCGTCTCGGGTTCAAGCGATTCTCCTGCCTCAGCCTCCCGAGTAGCTGAGATTACAGGCAGGGAGTTTTATCTCAAAAATAAAAAATTGATATCTGTCTCACCAATCATATTGCAACCAGGTCTGTTAGTTTCCTGAAGAGAAATTAGGTGCTGCAGTACGTTCCAGAAGCAGCTCTTTATGCCCGTATTGCTGATCAAACTATTTTTTAAAAACGTTCCTATCATACATCACCTTGCCTCGGAACAGGGTACAGGCCTGGGATTTTTTGATAGAAAAAGGTGTCTTCAGTGCCCATTTCCCAGTTTGGGATGAAGAGACATAAAGAAGCCCTCTAATAAGGAAATTACGCCGGGCCTCACTGTTAATAGTACAGTATCTCTCAGCAGCTGCCGCGGTTAAGAGGAATCCACTGACTCCTGTAGTCTGCACCTCCCAACATGGCAGCATTTAGCTCGCGACCTGCTCAAGATGGCCACAGAAACACTTCCGGCGTCTTTCCGAACTAGGCCCGCCCCAATTTGCGTATTTTTACCGTGCAGAGGGAGGGATTTAGAGTTAGCCTTTGATTGGTCAGCTTGACTGGCGACCTTTCCCCTCTGCGACAGTTTCCCGAGGTACCTAGTGTCGGAGCGGCACAGACGAGATCTCGATCGAAGGCGAGATGGCGGACGTGCTAGATCTTCACGAGGCCGGGGGCGAAGATTTCGCCATGGATGAGGATGGGGACGGTGAGGACAGTGGAGGCGGCTGGGGGAAGCGGGAAAGGTGCGAGAGAAGGCTATAATAGGAAAATTTACTCTTTTCTCCCGGGTCGTGAGGATGGGAATCGGGGAACCGGGTGTTGGGTGGATTAGAGATTCCGCCCCCTTTAGGAGAAGGGAGGGCGTGACCGGGAAGGCACTGAGACTGGAGGCGGTTTGGGTCGGCTTGCAGACAGTGTCTTGGGAAAGAAACGATTGTTACAAATGACTGTCATGGTTACTTACTCTTTTATCTTCTGGGGCTCCAGAGAGCATTCACAAACTGAAAGAAAAAGCGAAGAAACGGAAGGGTCGCGGCTTTGGCTCCGGTGAGTGTGGGGAAAATGGGGTAGAGTGGCCTAGTAGGGCAGGAGCCCCGGGTTTTGGAGTCCCCACCCAACTCATAGGAACAATGGGAGAAAGGGGGAGTTTTCGGTGATCTCGTGTGTGTCCCTTATAGAAGAGGGGTCCCGAGCGCGGATGCGTGAGGATTATGACAGCGTGGAGCAGGATGGCGATGAACCCGGACCACAACGCTGTGAGTAATAATGGAACCTGTGAGGTATCCGTGTCTGTGGTAGTAGTTAGAAAGCGATAAAATAGTTAAGCAGTAGGAATGGGTTCAGAGATAGCTTAAACAATCTGAGTCCGCACTCACTCTACTCCTGTGAGCCTGCTTGAAGCGTTTCTCTCATGTACTAATACAACTTCCCCCCGTCCCCCAACAGCTGTTGAAGGCTGGATTCTTTTTGTCACTGGAGTCCATGAGGAAGCCACTGAAGAAGACATACACGACAAATTCGCAGAATATGGGGAAATTAAAAACATTCACCTCAACCTCGACAGGCGAACAGGATATCTGAAGGTATCCTAAGTGACACTTTATTGCCTCCTTTCTTTCATAACCCTTAGACAGCATTGGTAGTTCTGTGTTTGCTGTGGTTGGCCAAGAGCAAAGTTAAAATAAAATGACATTTAAAACATGGATATGTTTTGTCAGACACGCCAAAGAGACAGACATGTTGTATATATACAGAGATACATGATGTACATTCATTGCTTAAATTTTATAGATTTTTCTGAGTTTAGATTTGAGGAAAAAGATACTCAGTGCTGCTTGGGGAAATAGGAGGGTTTTCATATCTGTCTTTTTACTTTCCCCAGGGGTATACTCTAGTTGAGTATGAAACATACAAGGAGGCCCAGGCTGCTATGGAGGGACTCAATGGCCAGGATTTGATGGGACAGCCCATCAGCGTTGACTGGTGTTTTGTTCGGGGTCCACCAAAAGGCAAGAGGAGGTAAAATGAAGAGGGCAAACACTGGGTGAAGGGAATATGAACAAAACAGAATGAGGACGTAGTATTATGTCCCTCTAATGGACTCTTCTCCCTGCTTCTTTTTCCCTAGAGGAGGCCGAAGACGCAGCAGAAGTCCAGACCGGAGACGTCGCTGACAGGTCCTCTGTTGTCCAGGTGTTCTCTTCAAGATTCCATTTGACCATGCAGCCTTGGACAAATAGGACTGGGGTGGAACTTGCTGTGTTTATATTTAATCTCTTACCCTATATGCATACTATTTGAGTTGCGAATAAATGTTCCATTTTTGTTTTCTACATTTAATATTACTTTCCTATCGTAAAATTGAAAGTTCTAAAGCATAGTAAGGCTGTATGGATCATTGTGAAGATAATTCTAGGGACTGAACTCTATTTCTTTTTTTTTTTTTGAGATAGAGTCTTGCTGTGTTCCCCAGGCTGGAGTGCAGCTGCGTGATCATAGCTCACTGCAGCTTCAAACTCCTGGGCTCAAGCCATCCTTCTGCCTCACCCTCCCTAGTAGTTGGGATTACAGGCACATGCCACCATGCCCGGCTAAATTTTTAATATTTTTGTAGAGATGGGGTCTTGCTGTGTTGCCTGGGTTGGTTATGTGAATTTCTATACTATATTATTTTGTTCCTGTATACTCTGTTAGGATCAGATAGATGTTATAGAAATGTCTTTTGTTTCTCCTGCACTTCTTGATGTCACAGTTTTTTGTACTTCCTGCTGTCTAAGGGCATGAATCTCCTGTTGGAGCATTCTCCCAGACCCTTCTTTAGAAGAGTCTATACTAAGTTCTTGGTGCCCTCTTCGGCAGCCAAAGGTGAAGGCCCCATAGAGGAGAGGATCCAGAGGAGCATTGAGGAGGCCAAAAAGGAAAAGGATGTGGCTCAGGCTGGGAGGGACTTCAGTTAGCATGGTGGGAGAGAACCAGTACCACAGACCCAGTAGGTAATAAGGTGTCCAGCAGAGGATGAAGGTCAGCAAGATAAGCAGGGCCAGTCTCAGGGCCCGGAGACAAACACGGGGACGATTGTCAAAGGAGCGGCGGAGGGCAAATTCACCAGCAGGGGCTAGGAATTTAGCAAATATACTGTAATTCAGAGTCTAAGCTTCTGAACTGAGTATAGGGTGAACTGATGGAGGAGCATAGCTAGTGACACAGAGCTTGCCTCCTACAAGGAGGAGAATGCTGCAAACCCTTTTCCCCTTCCCAACCTAGGACTATATGATCTCTTACCCCCAGGGATTATGATAGGAATGTGAAGCCACCCAGTCTACTTTAAGACTTGATGGTGTATAAGAATAAATAATACTGATTGCCTCCCTAGTCCCTGTCCAGCTAACTCAGCTGTTTATAATTGAAAGGATTCAACAAAATTAGCATCAGGTGCTAGACATATGGTTAGGATCTCACCACAGTTGAGTGACTGGTAGATAGCTATTAGGTAGGTAGATAAATGATGCTAGAGGCAACAGGTCTAGGGTTAAGGATTAAGGCCTGGGAATTGGAGTCTCACCATGGCTCCCCTTCCTTGTCTGAGGGCTGGACACACTGAGGACAATGCGGCTATAGCAGATGGCCATGGCAATCAGTGGCAGCAGAAAGAGGCAGCAGAAGGTGAAGAGGTTATAGGTGGTCGCTTGCCATCGAGCCTTGAAGCTGCCTTTGGTGACACACTGAGTGAAAGGGACTGGGCCAGCTCGGTGGACGGTATGGAACAGGAACAGCTGGAGTGGAGTTCAGGACTATTAGAACTGGTTCCCCTCACCACCCAGCCTACCCACCTATGTCATACTGTCTCCTCCCAATTCATCCTTAATTCCAAGTGAAGCAGCACAGTGCTGAAAAACAGTTCATCCATGGTGCCATGTTAAAGAGGTTGGAAATATGTCTTGAAAATCCTGTCTTCCTTTTAGGCTTGAATATGATGCTGAGCAGTAAGTTTGTTAAATCTCGGAACTTAATCCCACCTTCTCAAGTACTATTCTAACACTGCGCTTTGTAAGGGATGATATTTCTACCACCTCACTCATATTTTTAGCTGAAATGATTTTCCTGGTATGTCTGTTTTGTGGAAAAAAAAACTGTGTAAAGTGGGTGCTGCCAAAATTCCAGGCCATTTTGCAGTGACTCTGAAGTGACCTTTAGTAGTAATAGTCTTATGTGCAGTAACTATAATGGTAAAGAATGTTAAATAATAAAATGTAACATTTTCCAAATGCTGTTGGGCTGCCCTTCCCCCTTTTTGTTAAATTGCTGGGTTTTCCAACTGAATCAGTAAAAACTATTTCCGTTTAGAGCTACAAGGTTAAAGTGCCTGGGTTCCAGTAATGCAGATTGTCACTATTAATTTGATAAAAGGTAAGCTCAGTAGGTATCAGATTCCTAGATACAAGGCATTTGGGACAGTGATTTTAGCAGACATGAGGGACATTTAGGAAAGATGAATAGTTTCAGCATAAGACAGAATTTTGAGAACTGTTTGGAGTTACGATCAGGCTACTCTGAGCTAGTTGGAAAATGTTCTTTCCTCTTCCCATCTCTTGCATTCATATATTTATAATTTGTTTTTGTTTTTGTGCTATGCCTAAGAAGTACGTGAGAATCGTGAGGAGTATAAAAAATAGTCAAAGCTGGCTGGGCGCGGTGGCTCATGCCTGTAATCCCAGCACTTTGGGAGGCTGAGGGGGGTTAATCACGAGGTCAGGAGATCGAGACCATCCTGGCTAATACGGTGAAACCCTGTCTGTACTAAAGATAAAAAAATTAGCCGGGCGTGGTGGCAGGCGCCTGTCGTCCTAGCTACTGGGGAATTCCAGGAGGCTGAGGCAGGAGAATGGCGTGAACCCAGGAGGCGGAGCTTGCAGTGAGCTGAGATTGTGCCATTGTACTCCAGCCTGGGTGACAGAGCGAGACTCTCTCCAAAAAAAAAAAAAAAAAGTCAAAGCCTACAAAAATAAGTAATTTCTAACCAACCCAATAGTCCCTAAGGACTCCTAAGCCCTTACCACACTAATGTGACATTAAATTTTTTATTTTATTAACACTAATATTTTAACTACAATTGCAGCATATGGGCAAGGCAGAATTTACCCACAAGGATACTAATTTGGAACCAAAAAATTTCACCTTTTGTACAAGTATCATGCGTGTCACAATCAGTTTGCCATTGAAACAAATAGAGATTGCAAATATTGTCAGATTGTCAGGCCATAAGAAAGGATGAAATTCATTTCCCATTGCATCATCTTGTGGCCCATGGATTTCAAGTGCCTTAGCCAAAATCATATAGCTAGTTAGCAGTAGAGCCCGAGACTCAGAAAAAAAACAAAGTAAAACAGGCAAACTGAAACAAAAAGTCTTCTAATTTCCAGTCCACATGTAAAATTTGCTTTATATAAACAAACCTAATTGTAAATGGCACTGTAGCAACAGGCTTCTTTTTAACACTTGGATTGGTAAAGGTCTTGTTTGCAACATATTAGAAGTATTATTTTTCTCTTTTTATCCCCCGCCGACAGAGTCTGGCTCTGTCGCCCACGCCAGAGTGCAGTGCAGTCTTGGCTCACTGCAGCCTCCACCTCCCAGGTTCAAGAAATTCTCGTGCCTCAGCCTCCTGAATAGTTGAGATTACAGGTGCTCACCACTACACCAGGCTAATTTTTGTATTTTTAGTAAAGATGGGGTTTCATCTTGTTGGCCAGGTTGGTCTTGAACTCCTGACCTTAAGTGATCCACCCGCCTTGGCCTTCCAAAATGCTGGGATTACAGGCTTGAGCCACCAGGCCTTTCTTTGTTCTTAGAAGTATAGTCAGACTAACTTCTAGTAGTTATATTTCTAATAATTGAGGATGTAAGTAAGGATCAAATCTTAAATCAGTATAATATATTATCATTCCAGAAACAAATCCTAGACCCTTCTTGGCCTCCTTCTAGACATAATTCTAATCCTACAGTCTCAGAGCTGCCCCCCAATCCCATGATAGTGATAGTGGTGTTTGCCTTGAAGGAATTGCTTTGTATTTAGCTTTTTTCCCCACCTAGATTTCTAGTTCCTTTTCAGTATTGGATTTGCTTTGAGATTTGATTAACCTAGTACTCAGGTTGAGATGCTCGCCTCTTTCCAATTTTAACACTCATTTGACAATAAAGTCAGTAAAAAACACAAATTTGGTTATGTCACTCTTTTTACTTTAGTGTCTCTCCACTGCACTCAGGATAAAGTACAATTTTATTATTTGTGATCTGGCTGGCTCTTCCCCTCTCAGCTCATTACTGACCATTAACTACTCCTCAGCTTTAGCAGCATTGAGATCCTCTATCCTCCATCTTCCCTAGCATTTCTCCTATTTTAATTGGTCTAACACCTATCTGTGAAGAATCAAACGTTAACATCTGGAAAGCTGTTCCTGACTGCACAGCTGTGTCAGACACCCCTCTCTGCTCCCCACCCCCATTGTCTTCTTTAGCTCCTTTAGCATAACACTTTTGAGTATACTATATTGTAAGTGCCTAATTTCTTTGTTTCCTGCGCTAGTCAATACATTTCCTGAAGGCAGAATTTTGCTGCCCTATCCTTAGCAAAATTTGAGTGGCCCTGGAGATGCATATTACTTTTTGAATGGATAAATGAGTGTACCACAAAGTTTTACCCAAACCACTGACCTCACTCTCTTCATAGACCCCATGTATGTTTTTCTGTTGTTCTTCCCTGCCCCAATCTGAAGGAGGTGAGATTGGGAGGATGCAAAGATGCAGAAGCCAAGTGTAGTAAAACAGATCTAATGGAGGAGGCACAAATAGAGGATACTGCTTATAAAAGGCAGGCTCTTAACAGATGTAAATTAACATGCAAATAATCTTACAGAAGAGAGCAGAGGTAGCCGGGCAGGGTGCCTCACGCCTGTAATCTCAGCACTTTGGGAGGCTGAGGCGGGCGGATCACGAGGTCAAGAGATGGAGATCACCTGGCCAACATGGTGAAACCTCGTCTCTACTAAAAATACAAAAATTAGCCGGGCGTGGTAGCGGGCGCCTGTAGCTTCTCGGGAGGCTGAGGCAGAAGACTTGCTTGAACCCGGGAGGCGGAGGTTGCAGTGAGCCGGCAAAAAAAAAAAAAGGCAGGGGCTTACTCTCCGAGAATTAATGGCTAATGGCCCCCAAGCGCGCCCTTTAACTCATGCTACGGACCCAAATCCCTGTCCTGCCCAGTCCTGAGTCCTAGGTCACTCACCTGGGGCAAGGCAAGCAGGAAACTAAGTCCCCAGGCTGCCCCCAGAAGTTTCCTTACACCTGAACGGGATCCAAGCGGGTTGAGTACTGCTGCCTGGCGGTCCAGTCCAATGACCACAGGCAGGCAAGCTGCAGAATACATGGCCATTAGTTTCAGGAACATGAGTGTCCGACATGCGATGTCCCCGGCCAGCCATTGAACAGTGATATTCCAGGTGGCATCTAGGGGCATAACCACAAAAGTGACTAGTAAGTCGGCAGCTGCTAAATGGGCGAAGAGTGTCCTGACCGGAGAGGGGCGGAGCTGGCTGGGTTGCGGCCGTGTCACTGACCACAGGACGGCCAGGTTCCCTCCAGCCGAAGAAACAAACAGCACAATGGTCACTCCCACTCGGACCTTGGCTGCTGTCGAGAAGGTGGGCAGCTCTGAGCCCTCCACCGCCACTCCTGATCCAGCCCAGGCCTCCTCCCCCACTGCTGACCCCCAAGGGGTGCCGTTGCCTACAGACGTGGTGGCCTGGAGAGAAACTGAGGAGGAGGCAGTGTGGGTATGAAGCGGTTAGCTTTGGCCACTGATTCTTCGCCCACCTTTTCAGGATCTGGAGCTGATTATTGCGAATTTCGTTCACTAAAGCCTCTGCTTCTGGAGACTCTCCGTCTGTTCTGGAGGAGGTCACTTGTCCAACTGTCAAGGTTCTGCAGGGAACGAAGATCTGGTACCAGTCACGCTCCTTTTTCCTTGGAAAGACCAGCCTGGGCTTCGGGTCTCTACTGCCCTAGACCTCTTTAGCCCTTACAGCCCTGGATTCAGTCCGAGCCTGAGTGCATGTGTATTTGGGATGTTCTGCCGGGCGCACACCTATTCCGGCCTCCAAGGCGTGGAGTTCACTGCGGCGCTTTCTCGCCCCGCCCCGACCCCTGCAGGCCCCGCCCTTGGTCCTGAATATTTAAAGCAGAATGTGCCGCTGGAGGCGTGCTGGGGAGTGGTGATCGTCTGATAAGGAGACCCTCTGACAGAGACACACACAATAATACGCAGATGTAGGCGCAAAAGACACGCGTTTCGCGTCCTGAAATTCCGCTTCGAGGGCCAGCTCCACTCGCTTTCTTTTCTGATATTGTTTGTCCCTCGCGAGGCACCGTTGGGTCGCGCAGGAGGCGTGACTAGGGGCGGGAAGTGGGGCGGGAGCGGGGCCGCGGAGCCTGGGCTACCGCTGTCATGGACGCCTGGGTCCGCTTCAGTGCTCAGAGCCAAGCCCGGGAGCGGCTATGTAGGTGCGGCCCGAATAGGAATGGGGGTGGGGCGGGGGAGGGATGGGCAGAGGAAGACTCTAGTGAGGCGAAGTCAGTTCAGGCTATAGGGGGGTCAAGAAGGGTCAACTCTGGCTACGGGGGCCCGAACGGACCGTGAGGCGCAGATTTGAGCCGCTGTTGAGGAGATGATTCCTTTCCGCTCGCGGAAGAGATGGGGAAACTGAGGCATGAGTGGGTCAGCGGGGAGGCCACTCAGGGTTGCTGTGTCCACATAAGACCGACAGTGTTCTCACTGAGCGGTGATGGAATGAGGAGCATTCACCCCACGGTGGATAGCCCTGGACTCTGCCCCCAGAGCTGAGGAGGCACTCCCAGTTTCCATGTCCCCCCGCCGTGCTGTCATTCGGGAACTCCTCTGCGTCCGTCCTGGCGTTTGGTCTCCATTCAGCTAGAGGGCCTTGAAATCTCTTAGTTCACCTATTCTGAGGAATAAAATGCCCTCCAACTGTCTGCCTCCCCTCATCGATCACATACATGCTCACGCTGATGTGCTTGTGATGGACCCCTGCGGCCTGCACTGGCCCCTTCAGGCCTCATCATTGTCAAATCTCTTATTTGCTCAGCATTCAGTAGTGCTCCCTACCCCTTTCTAGACTCTTTTTTCTCCTTATGCCTTTTCCTTCCTCTGACCTGGAGAAATGGTGAGATATGGGCATGGAGGAGGAAGGGGAGTGGTCTCAAACTGGGAAAGGGGGAAGTCTGTGCCTTTTGGAGGATAATTTTGAGCGGAAGGTAAGGGAGGTCTCCACCTTACCTTGCCTGCCCTCTCCTCTAGGGCCGCCCAGTATGCTTGCTCTCTTCTTGGCCATGCGCTGCAAAGGCACGGAGCCAGTCCTGAGTTACAGAAACAGATTCGACAGCTGGAGGGCCACCTGAGCCTTGGAAGAAAGCGTAAGTAACTCTGTCTTTCCTTTTATCCCCCAACCCTTCCTCCATCCCCAGCTCTCCTTCCTTGGTCCCTCCTTCCTGTACCCTCTCTGCCTGTTCTTCCTTCTCATTTGGCTCTGCACTTACCCTCTGCATGCGTCAAGTTGAGATAAGAGAGCAGGGGTATGGAAGTAATTAGGAGGACTGGAGAGAATGGGGCAAGTTTGAGAAAACTAAACTGGCACAAAAATTAAATTTGAAATTGAAAAATGAAGTGTTTCTGCTCTTTATCTTTTTTTTTTGAGACAGAGTCTCTCATCCAGGTTGGAGTGCAGTGGCCCAATCTCGGCTCACTGCAACGTCTGCCTCCCAGGTTCAGGCAATTCTCCTGTCTCAGCCTCCTGAGCAGCTGGGACTACAGGTGCCCACCACCATGCCTGGCTAATTTTTGTATTTTTAGTGGAGATGGGGTTTCACCATGTTGGCCAGGCTGGTCTCAAACTCCTGACCTCAGGTGATCCAGCCACCTCGGCCTCCCAAAGTGCTGGAATTACAGGCTTGAACCACCGCGTCCAGCCTGTTTCTGTGCTTCAAAAAAATTGTTATTATTATTGCTCAACTTTTGCCTTCTTGCTTTCTCTGTTTCTGTTTCTTGCTATCTGCCTCTCTACTTACAAATCCTTGCTTTCCCTTTCTAATCTTCACAAGTTCTACGCCTGGGTAACTCAGCAGATGCCCTTGAGTCAGCCAAAAGAGCTGTTCACCTATCAGATGTTGTCCTGAGATTCTGCATCACTGTTAGTCACCTCAATCGAGCCTTGTACTTTGCCTGTGACAATGTCCTGTGGGCTGGAAAGTCTGGACTGGCTCCCCGTGTGGATCAGGAGAAGTGGGCCCAGCGTTCATTCAGGTTTGATATCCTTTTCTCCTTCAAGATTTTTTTTTTTTTTTTGTAGTCTGTATATTGCATAGCTTGTCTTATATGAGGGAAAGATCTCTTAGGATCTTTCCACTCAAGTCTTGATCAGTCACTTGGCTTCCAGTCTTCACTTAGATCTTAAACTATTGGAGAATATCAAATGGGGGGAGATGGAAGACAGATGATCTTCCATAATGAATGACTAATATTGTGCAAGGTAAGATATTATATCACTTTAATTGTGCTTCTATACCACAGGTTATTCCCCCTCACTACCTGCTTACTCATTCATTCCAAAAATATTTATTAGATGCTTACTGTGGGGCAGGGGATAAAACAAAGAGCTAAACAGGTAATGTGCCTATGTGCCTGCTCCCATGAAGCTTCCAGTTTAGTGGGGGAGTTAGATACTACAATGAATAACTTCTCATATATATTTGTGGGAAAGTATGCGGTATTATGAAAGAATATCACAAGGGGAGCTAATTTAGATTGAAAAATCGGGAAAAAACTCTTTGAGAAAGCAATATTTTAGTTCAGACCTGATGTCTGAGTAGGAGGAGTTAGACAAAGCCAACAGTAGCAGAAAAGACATTTCCAAACAGAGAAAATAGCACATTCTAAATAAGGCTTTGAACTAAGACTTCAGGAAATTAGAGAAATAGAAAGCCAGTGTGATTGACAGTATTGAATCCATCAGTTCAAATTTGAGAGGTAGACAGACACCAGACCTTTCATACAGGGCCTTTTAGTTAATGCTTGTTTTATTTTATCCTACAATGGAACATTATTGAAGGATTCTGAGCAGGGAAATGACATGATTCAAATTGTGTTTAAAGGACATCTCTTTCTGAGATGTTGAAAATGGATTGCAGGCCAGGCGCAATGGCTCACACCTGTAATCCCAGCACTTTGGGAAGCCGAGGTTGGGGGATCACGAGGTCAGGAGTTCAAGACCAACCTGGCCAACATGGCAAAACCCCGTCTGTACTAAAATTACAAAAATTACCCAGATGTGGCGGCGGGCACCTGTAATCCCAGCTACTTGGGAAGCTGATGCAGGAGACTTGCTTGAACCCGGGAGGCAGAGGTTGCAGTGAGCTGTGATGGTGCTATTGCACTCCAGCCTAGGTGACAAAAGCAAGACTCCATCTCAAAAAAAAAAAAAAAAGAAAAGAAAAGAAAATGGATTGCAGTGGGACAAGAGAGGAGGAGATGCCCTAATATGAGCAAGAGATGACGTTGGCTTGGACAAAGGAGGTAGCTGACAATGAAGGTAGAGAGAAATACGATGTGGGAGTAAAATTCCCTAACATACTATCTGTATTTGTTTTTTGTTTTCCTATGATTGTACTTTTTCGTTATATTAACCTTGCTTTTCCCTTCATCTTTCTCAGTGATTTACAACTATAACATGGCTTATGATGTATGAGGGATGGGAGCAGAGGCATGGCTGGAGCAGTATGGAAAAGCAACTCCCTAAAGGAGTCTATATGTTATATTTATTCATTTCATCCAACAGATACTTACTGAGCTCTTACCGTATGGTAGGCATCAGTCTACATACAGGGGTACAGTGGTTAAAGACAAACAAGGCCTCTGCTCCTCTGGAACTTACCTTGTAATGGGATGAGATAAACATAAATAAACAATAAATTAAAATATCAGATACTGGCATGTGTTATGCAGGAAATTAAAACAGGGTTATGGAGTAGAGAGTAACTAATTCAGTGCTTTAGATTTAGGGATAAGGGAAGGCCTCTCCGAAGAGGTGATATTTAAGCTCATACCTGAAAAGCAAGAAAGAACTAGCTATGTGAGGATTTTGGAGGGAGAATATTCCAGGTAGAGGGAATAGGTAGTGCAAAGGTCCTAAGGCAAGAACAAGCATGATGAAATTAAAATGTATAAAGAAACCAACATGGTTAGAGCATAATGATTGAAGGAAAGAATGATACAAGGTAAAGTTAGAGGGGTAGGGACCAGATGTTGAGTCCTGTAAGCCTCTCTAAGGTATTTATATTTTATTATGAACGTGATAGGAAGAAAACCATGATGAGCTGTGTTTTTTTGTTTGTTTGTGTATTTGTTTTTCTTTTTTTTTTTTTTTGAGATGGAGTCTTGCTCTGTTGCCCAGGCTGGAGTGCAATGGTGCAATCTCAGCTCACTGCAACCTCCACCTCCCAGGTTCAAGCAATTCTCCTGCCTCAGCCTCCTGAGTAGCTGGGATTACAGGCACGTGCCACCATGCCCGGCTGATGTTTGTATTTTTGGTAGAGACAGGGTTTCACCACGTTGGTCAGGCTGGTCTCAAACTCCTGACCTCATGGTCCGCCTGCCTCGGCCTCCCAAAGTGCTGGAATTATAGGCATGAGCCACCGCGCCTGGCCAACCATGGAGCGTTTTAAGAAGGGAAGTAATGATGTGATTTATGTTTATGCTAGCTACTATATGAA